TGGCCAAAATTGAAAAAAAAAGCAAGGGGTTAGCCTTACATTTTTAGTCAAAATTGGTCCAAAATGGTCTTTTCTCAAAACAAGGCAGAAATTCATCTAGATGCTAGAGGAACACCAATCAATACTCTGACACACACAATTTTTAAGATTTGGGCAAAAATCGTAAATTTTTTGAGAAAAAAAAGAGGTAATTTTTTGAGCGATTTTACCTTAATTTTTCGACAGAATTTCCCCTTTAATAGCACAACTGTCCAGCAATCGATTTGGAATGCGTTCTAGGGCCCTTGAGTCATCTTTCTAGAAACTTCAGGACATTTCATTTTTTGGCCAAAATTGAAAAAAATGCAAGGGGTTAGCCTTACATTTTTAGTCAAATTTGGCCCAAAATTGTCTTTTCTCAAAACAAGGTAGAAATTCATTTGGATGCTAGAGGAACTTCAATCAATACTCTAACACACATCAGTTGGAAGATTTAGGCAAAAATCGTCAGTTTTTGGAAAAAAAGGTAGTTGTTATGAGAGATTTTACCTTAATTTTTCGACAGAATTTCCCTTTCAATAGCACATCTGTCCAGCAATCGATTTGGAATGCGTTCTAGGGCCCTTGAGGCATCTTTCTAGCATCTTTCAGGAAATTTCATTTTTTGGCCAAAATTGAAAAAGATGCAAGGGGTTAGCCTAACATTTATAGTCAAAACCGGCCAAAAATGGACTTTTCTCAAAACGAAGCAGAAATTCATCAGGATGCAAGAGGAACATCAATCAATACTTTAACACACATAATTTTGGAGATTTGGGCAAAAATCGCCAATTTTTGGAGAGAAAAAAGATAATTTTTTGAGCGATTTAAACTTAATTTTTCGACAGAATTTCCCCTTCAATAGAACAATTGTCCAGTAATCGATTTGGAATGCGTTCTATGACCCTTAAAGCATCTTTCTAGCATCTTTCAGGAAATTTCATTTTTTGGCCAAAATTGAAAAAAAAAGCAAGGGGTTAGCCTTACATTTTTAGTCAAAATTGGTCCAAAATGGTCTTTTCTCAAAACAAGGCAGAAATTCATCTAGATGCTAGAGGAACACCAATCAATACTCTGACACACACAATTTTTAAGATTTGGGCAAAAATCGTAAATTTTTTGAGAAAAAAAAGAGGTAATTTTTTGAGCGATTTTACCTTAATTTTTCGACAGAATTTCCCCTTTAATAGCACAACTGTCCAGCAATCGATTTGGAATGCGTTCTAGGGCCCTTGAGTCATCTTTCTAGAAACTTCAGGACATTTCATTTTTTGGCCAAAATTGAAAAAAATGCAAGGGTTAGCCTTACATTTTTAGTCAAATTTGGCCCAAAATTGTCTTTTCTCAAAACAAGGTAGAAATTCATTTGGATGCTAGAGGAACTTCAATCAATACTCTAACACACATCAGTTGGAAGATTTAGGCAAAAATCGTCAGTTTTTGGAAAAAAAGGTAGTTGTTATGAGAGATTTTACCTTAATTTTTCGACAGAATTTCCCTTTCAATAGCACATCTGTCCAGCAATCGATTTGGAATGCGTTCTAGGGCCCTTGAGGCATCTTTCTAGCAACTTTCAGGAAATTTCATTTTTTGGCCAAAATTGAAAATAATGCAAGGGGTTAGCCTTACATTTGTAGTCAAAATCGGCCAAAATTGACTTTTCTCAGAACAAGGCAGAAATTCATCTGGATGCAAGAGGAACATCAATCAATACTCTGACACACATAATTTTGAAGATTTGGGCAAAAATCGTCAATTTTTGGAGGGAAAAAAGGTAAGTTTTTGAGCGATTTTACCTTTGTTTTTCGACAGAATTTCCCCTTTAATAGCACAACTGTCCAGCAATCGATTGGGAATGCGTTCTAGGACCCTTAAGGCATCTTTCTAGCATCTTTCAGGAAATTTCATTTTTTGGCCAAAATTGAAAAAGATGCAAGGGGTTAGCCTTACATTTTTAGTCAAAATCGGCCCAAAATGGTCTTTTCTCAAAACAAGGTAGAAATTCATCTGGATGCTAGAGGAACTTCAATCAATACTCTAACACACATAATTTTGAAGATTTGGGCAGAAATCATCCATTGGAGAAAAAGATTAATTTTTTGAATGATTTAAATATTAATTTTCGACGGAGTTTCCCTTTTTAATAGCACATCTGTCCAGAAACCGATTTGGAATGTGTCCTTGTGCCCTTTAGGCATCTTTCCAGGAAATTTTGAGCAACATCATTTTTTTGGCCAAAATTGAAAGAAGTGCAATAGGTTCCCCTTACATTTTTAGTGAAATTTGGCCAAAAATAGACTTTAATCCAAACAAGGCAGAAATTCATCTGGATGCAAGACGAACATCAATCGAAAGTCTAAAAAGCACATTTTTAGAGATTTGGGCAAAAATCATCCATTGATGGAGAAAAACATTAATTTTTTGAGTGTTTTTCATTTCAATTTTCGACGGAGTTTCCCTTTTTAATAGCACATCTGTCCAGAAACCGATTTGGAATGTGTCCTAGGGCCATTAAGGCATCTTTCCAGCACATTTTAAGCAATTTCATTTTTTGGCCAAAATTGACAAAAGTGCAAGGGGTTAACCTTACATACATGTATTCAGTTGGGAAAAAAGGTTAAAATATTTTTCCTCTTAATTTCAAGGAAATTTAACACATAAAAACCCACTAAATAGTTAGAGAGTGACTACCACATGGGCCTTTTTTTCACGAGTCGGCCATATTGAATTGAAAGTTAGGTAAAATGATTATTTTTTTGGAACTTGCGAAGAGAAGTGAAAGCAAGTAAATTCATAATAAATTCTAGTTTGCTTCAATGAATAATTTAAAATTTGTAATTAAACATTCCCTAATGTTTAAAGCCATATTTAAAAAAAAAAGACAGTAAAATAAGGCTGCATTGTGCCTGCATAAATAGTCTGGCGCCATACTATTCAACAGTTAACAGTTAATGAAATACATTCCGGGAACTCGACAAAAATGGCCAACTCGTGAATAAGGCCCATTGGAATTCAGATCACAGCAAGAAAAGAAGTGCAAGAACATTTATTCTCTTTTACAATATCCATTGATTTATTCACGTATCAATGTACATCATCGAATGCCTTTCTTATTGCCCTATCAAAACTAAAAATGCATAATGGTCTTCACAAAAACAAAACGGTTTTCAGGAACGATGATTGTTGCGATAATTGAAACAAACTGAAATTTCATGATCAGGAATTGTTAACAAAAATTTGTTTACATGAATCAACAGTACAAGTATGTGGGGCTCTTATTTCTTAAAGTTTGACACTGTATTATAAGTTATACTGCGAGCGCGAGTGGAACACGGAATACTGTAGTGCGTCTGTGTCCTACATACCACGAGGCCGAATGTGGGACACAGACGCACTACATTTTCCGTGTTCCACGAGCGCGAGCGTGATAACGAATTTATCTTCAAGCAAACTTGACGCACAGTAAGGTTGGACCTAGCACGCTTTACACGAACCTTTTAGCAGTTTAGAGCATGCAGCTGGAATGTCGCTCGCATCTTGGAATAGCGCAATACGCAGGGTGCGATATGGACCGTGCAATACAGCCTCATATCACACTGTTGTTGCCATGGATCGACCAATCAGAATCGAGGATACAAGTTTGCTTGAAGATAAAATACATTCTGATATTTACTGACAATTAAACTGTAAATGAAGGCTCAATACCTAACTTTTGATAAAAGGTTTTATTGAACTATGCCTGGCCTAGAGTAAAATTTAAATTTGGTTTAATATTTGAAGTCATCAAAGCTACAAAGCCACTTGATCTACTGAATTTCCAATGAACTGGAATTTTCGACATTTTTCATTCTAAAATGTCCTCAGTTGCCAAAATATTGACTCGGTCATGAGCAAAAGCTGGGAATAATCCCTCTTTTGTGAACCATACACCTGTTCGTACTTTAACACAACTGGGAAATCAAATCCCATCGATGGTGACATAGTGGTACAGTCCTGGTTCCATTAAAACCAAACAAACCAGAGATATTGGGTTATGGCAGATTTTGGTGGTTCAGGTTTTAAAGCTATAGTCCATCATTTGCAGCCATCCGAAAAGTAACTTGCGTAATTATTGTTGAAAAACAAACTTGGTTGAAAGATAGTAAGGGAACTAAACTCCCTGTGAAATTATTCTTTCTCGGAAGCTGTCATTTTGAAGTAATCAACGAAAGAAGGCCTTTCCAACGGTGCGTCTTAAGACGCACCGTAGGAAAATTTAAATTAGTAGTTCGTTTTGTTATTCGGCGAAGCACGCGCAAGCATTTGCACGACGCACACGCGCGCGCGGTTGTTATAATTCGTTGGATCAGTGCGCGACATCGCATATAGCTGCAGTTCAAAACAATTCAAAACATGATTCAGTAACTTTTGATTAGAAATTGAGATCCTATGCTGTTTTTCTCGGAATATACAGCTGAAGCTTAGCTGAAACTTCATCACGTTAGTTGTTCAGTATCCTTCATTAGATTTTGAACATTTTTGTTGCTTCAAACGAACAAAATGCACAAATTACAAATGATGGACTTTATCTTTAAACACAGTCTAATGTCTCACAGTAGCTAGCAACCATCCAAATCAAAAAAAGAACACAACATGAAGGGAATGGTTTACCATGTAAGTGTTATACGCACGTGACTTCTTAAAAAAAGAAGAAGTAATCTTTAAAACAGACGTGCAACTGGGAACAAACAAAAACAGAGGCAATTCCAATTTTACAAGAATCAATACCTTTTTTTTCAAATGTTGATGGCATATAAGTGTGAAGTGAAAAACGAGGAAATCAGCTGATCCGGGGAAAACTTGCATACCTTTTAATATGATCATTTAAACTTCCAATCAAATTTTTGTTTGACCTTTCATTTGACGTGAACGTGATGAAATATGAAAACCTGGCTAGTAGATCGCTTCATCCTACAAAATAAAGATCTCAGATGTGAATACTCTCCAGAGCTACTTCTTCACTGAGGCTTTGCCCAGTCTCTCGGAGTCTTCGTAGAATTCCTTGTCCCCTAGGTTGAGCATCAGGCTGCTGGCGTTCAGGTAGACGCGGTTCTGAGACGAAGCCACCTGCATCAGACACGGACACCAAAACAACATTCACTTTAGTAAGGGAATAAATGTGTGTTCGGGAGGTATTATAACACTCTGTTTAAGACCGGTGGGAGTCTGGATGGGTGATAATTACCCGAGTCTAACCCATTCATAAATACCTTTTCGGTAAAAAAAAACAAATCTTTTCGGTCCAAAAATCAAAACAAGTCAAAAAGTAGACATTGCCAACCATTTTGTTCAACAATTTTACTTTGTTTTACGAAACACCCCTCTGACTATAATATGGAATGCCCCTCCACAGCTCGTTACCTTAAAAGGTGGGCTGGTGTAGTGTGAATTTCGGACCATGAAATACTGATTCACTGGTAGAATTGCGCATGCATACGTGAGGAATGTGAACGTTCAACCAATGAAACGTTAAAAGGCACCGGATTTCATGGAGTCCAAATTTCATGTGACACTGGAAAAGTGTTTAAGACCAGCTAGCCATGTCTTTATCATCCGTTTAAGACCGGCTGTGTGACGGGCTCTCGACCAATAGGAATGTGTAAACTGTCTTAATAGGTATTTATGAATACCCATTTAATAAAAATAACACTACATGTACATTTCTATAGTGCAGTGTGAATCAAAGATTCCTCAAAGCGCGTAATAAAAGAACGCGAAAATAATAGTAATAATCCCCACTGAAAACCCAACTTGAATGAAAATTAGGCTGGACCAGCTGTTGTCTCAATGAATAATTGTTGTAAAATACTGTAAACTTTTTTTTTTTGAGTAAGTTCATCTGGATTGTTTGTCAGAATATTTCTGAAGGTTCGTTTTGAGAAATCCAATAAAAAAATTTGCGAAGATGTTACTCATAAACTAGTGACGTTTCACTGCTACGCTATGGCTCCGTCTATGGCTCAAAGAACGCCACCAGATGGCTCACAGAAGCCATTTTGATGCGCAGGAGGGGAGACAACAACATTCTCAACAAGGACGAGGGGGCCTACAAACTGAACAATATCTTTGATCAACTCATCCGCACCACGCCCTCTATGGCAGCTTCAAGCAGCTATGAGCTCCGTGCGCCAACAAAAGAGGGCGCCCTTTCACCTAGCAACGACGTCCCATGGGCGGGACATTTAGCTGGTTGACGCGCACCGTTCCTTGTGTGTGACGCACGTACACCAGGGGACTTGTACTATGTTCACGCAGTGGTACGGCCGTGCGTCGCGGCAAAATATTGCAGTCAGGTGTTTGCCGGTGTGGGGGTACTTGTGAACGGAGCGGATAAAGGGACAGTGTTGAGTCAAATGGGTTGCCAGTCTGAAGAGGCTGCTAGCGTAGCAGTGAAACATCACTAATTTGTGAGTAACATCTTCACGAATTTCTTATTGGATTTGTCAAAAAGAACCCTCAGAAAAATACTGTAGAACTGTTTAAGACTGATTAAGATATCATCTAGTGCTAGTGTGAAGTCAAGTGAAGCTGAGACACTTTTGAATCCCTCACCGCCTCAGCGTTAGACTTTTTAGCTGCCTTTTTGTTTCGCATTGCATTGTGGGGCACTAACCGCAGTAACCGGCTCAGCGGGTCGGTTACTTGGGCCAGGCTCGATTAAAGCGCGAGAAGTCACATGAGAGTTAAATCGAAAGCAGTCGCGCTTACATGAGTGAAGCGTGGGGGAAAGTGGGGCACTAACCCGAGTAACCGGCTCGGCGAGTCGGTTACTTGGGCCAGGCGCGATTAAGCGCGAGAAGTCACATGAGAGTTAAATCAAAAGCAGTCGCGCCTACATGAGCGACGCATGGGGGAAAGTGGGGCACTAACCTGAGTAACCGGCTCGGCGAGTCGGTTACTTGGGCCAGGCGCGATTAAGCGCGAGAAGTTACACGAGAGTTAAATCGAAAGCAGTCGCACTTACATGAGTGAAGCATGGGGGAAAGTGGGGCACTAACCTGAGAAACCGGCTCAGCGAGTCGGTTACTTGGGCCAGGCGCGATTAAGCGCGAGAAGTCACTTGAGAGTTAAATCGAAAGCAGTCCCGCCTACATGAGTGAAGTGGGGCACTAACCTAAGTAACCGGCTCAGCGAGTCGGTTACTTGGGCCAGGCGCGATTAAGCGCGAGAAGTCAAATGAGAGTTCAATCGAAAGCAGTCGCGCCTACATGAGTGACGCATGGGGGAAAGTGGGGCACTAACCTAAGTAACTGGCTCAGCGAGTCGGTAACTTGGGCCAGGCGCGATTAAGCGCGAGAAGTCAAATGAGAGTTCAATCGAAAGCAGTTGCGCTTACATGAGTGAAGCGGGGCACTAACCTGAGTAACTGGCTCAGCTGGTCGGTTACTTGGGCCAGGCTCGATTATAGCGCGAGAAGTCACATGAGAGTTCAATCTAAAGCAGTCGCGCTTACATGAGTGAAGCGGGGCACTAACCTAAGTAACCGGCTCAGCGAGTCGGTTACTTGGGCCAGGCGCGATTAAGCGCGAGAAGTCACATGAAAGTTAAATCGAAAGCAGTCGCGCTTACATGAGTGAAGCATGGGGGAAAGTGGGGCACTAACCTAAGTAACCGGCTCGGCGAGTCGGTTACTTGGGCCAGGCGCGATTAAGCGCGAGAAGTCACATGAGAGTTAAATCGAAAGCAGTCGCGCCTACATGAGTGAAGCGTGGGGGAAAGTGGGGCACTAACCTGAGTAACCGGCTCGGCGAGTCGGTTACTTAGGCCAGGCGCGATTAAGCGCGAGAAGTCACATGAGAGTTAAATCGAAAGCAGTCGCGCCTACATGAGTGACGCATGGGGGAAAGTGGGGCACTAACCTAAGTAACTGGCTCAGCGAGTCGGTAACTTGGGCCAGGCGCGATTAAGCGCGAGAAGTCAAATGAGAGTTCAATCGAAAGCAGTTGCGCTTACATGAGTGAAGCGGGGCACTAACCTGAGTAACTGGCTCAGCTGGTCGGTTACTTGGGCCAGGCTCGATTATAGCGCGAGAAGTCACATGAGAGTTCAATCTAAAGCAGTCGCGCTTACATGAGTGAAGCGGGGCACTAACCTAAGTAACCGGCTCAGCGAGTCGGTTACTTGGGCCAGGCGCGATTAAGCGCGAGAAGTCACATGAAAGTTAAATCGAAAGCAGTCGCGCTTACATGAGTGAAGCATGGGGGAAAGTGGGGCACTAACCTAAGTAACCGGCTCGGCGAGTCGGTTACTTGGGCCAGGCGCGATTAAGCGCGAGAAGTCACATGAGAGTTAAATCGAAAGCAGTCGCGCCTACATGAGTGAAGCGTGGGGGAAAGTGGGGCACTAACCTGAGTAACCGGCTCGGCGAGTCGGTTACTTAGGCCAGGCGCGATTAAGCGCGAGAAGTCACATGAGAGTTAAATCGAAAGCAGTCGCGCTTACATGAGTGAAGCGGGGCACTAACCTAAGTAACCGGCTCAGCTGGTCGGTTACTTGGGCCAGGCTCGATTAAAGCGCGAGAAGTCACATGAGAGTTAAATCGAAAGCAGTCGCGCCTACACGAGTGACGCATGGGGGAAAGTGGGGCACTAACCTGAGTAACTGGCTCAGCGGGGCGGTTACTTGGGCCAGGCTCGATTAAAGCACGAGAAGTCACGTGAGAGGTAAATTGAATGCAGTCATGCTTGAACGAGTAAGCATGGGGGAAAGTAATCAAATGCACTCTTCAAGAGGAAAGAGGTGGTTGTACTGACCGTTCTGGCAATGTTCTGTGCAGCTCGGATCTTCCTCAGCTTCAGATAGCCTGGATTGTTGGCGATGGCCATTCCCAAGTGAGATCAGAGTTAAGGTAGGTTGATAAAAACAATTTTTTTTTCCACGCAAAACAAGCAATTTTGTCGTTCTTTTTTAATAGCTCGTGACTTGACCCAAGACGAAATGACTTGTGACTGAATTGATATCGACTTGAATGGACATCATGGCCACTCTGTCTCTAAGATCACTCAAACTTACCTAATTTGAAATCAGGCTGACTTGATTTGCACAATCGTTTCAAATCAGTTTCTTTTATAGAATTTCAAAGTGGTACTAAAAAATTATACAAATGGAAAGATATGAGATGGCTGCCTGATCTGACATTCAGCACATGGATTGATTTCAAATGGTTTAGACATAAGTGGTACCATTTACATACTTTTAATTAAATTTGCTCACTTAAAGGTGTATCTTTAGAAAGCATGATACATTTACTGTCATCAGATTACTAAAGTAAAAATCACGACGGTCCGTCCACCAACAATCCAGCACCCTATCCCACTGTCCCACCCCTAGAAAAATCCCCTAAGCCCCTCCCACCCCATTTACCACAGGTCTTCTCCTGGCAGTCAAATCTCCAACAGCTAGGGAGTCTTGTTTAGACACAAGTGGCCCCTGAACAGGGATATGTCAGTCTGAGGTTACAATGTGCAGCCACGGCAGCACCAAGCGATGTTGGTTGGCCACCCATCAAGATTAACAGACTGTTCCCATGAGACATCCGGCGTTTCATGATGAAATTATGGGAAGGGTATTGCTGTCGGCGAATGAGGTGGACAGGACTCCTCAGTGAAGTAGTGAATCATCATGTGACAGTACAAGAGAAATCACATCATTATGAAAACTGGGATACATTGACGTGTAGTTAGCATTCTTGCAGAGCTTTGTACTCAAAACACCAACAAAATATGGCAGCGGTACTTAACAATGAGAAGGCGTAAAGGGCATGCCACCATTTATATAATCTATATAGCATCGGTTACATCAGTGGATAGCAGATGCACCATGGAGTGACATGTCGTGTGAAAAAGGTCATAGACAATGCATCACTTAGTGTTGCGCACAGCAAATCCATCATATTCGTCAATTGGTGGTATCAAACAAGTGCGCACATATGGTCCACTGTCAGGCAAATCTTGCCATTCCTGGTACATGCGCAATTTTTATTCGCAGAAAATAACACAATTTGTCCAATGGGATGCAAGTGCCCTTAACTTTGCCAATATTTCTCAGGCGCGTCACTTAGTGTTGCGCACAGCAAATCTATCATATTCATCATTTGGTGGTATCGTACCAGTGCGCAAATATGGTCCACTGTCAGGCAGACCTTGCCCTTCCTGGGCCTTACGCATTTTTTATTCGCAGAAAATAACACAATTTGTCCAATGGGATGCAAGTGCCCTTCACTTTGCCCTCATTTCTAAGCTACGCTGCCCTCTATTGTTCACGCACAAGCCCACTGGAGGACTGCATCAAAAGGATATCATTTCTGCAGCCGCTGCTTCACCCTCGGCCTGTACCACCTTCTGTGCTCTCTCCTGCTTGGCCTTCTCCACCAGGAACATGGCCCTCTGGGCTTCCTGCTGGGCTACTTGCTTGGCTTCCACGGCCGCTGTGTACTCCTTACCTGCGGACAAGAAGAAAACTCATTTCAGTTATTAATTTCATCTGGATTGTTGGTAAAACAAGAGCTAGACGATTCTCAATAAAGACGATGAGGCCTACAAGCTCCATAACATCTATGATCAACTAGTCCAAGCCACGCCCACGACGACCAAGAAAGGGTAATAAAAGGCAGTTGAGCATTGGACATTATGCTAGTCTGACGAAGCTCCTAGTTTAGGAGTGAAACATAACTACTAAAAAATCGTGAGTAACATCTTCATGTTTTTGGATTGGAAAAAAAATGAATCGTCTAACTCTCAATTCAGATATCTTGTTAACAGGTGAGACAGGGAATCTCTCCCAGCTGCCTACTTAGGGCCCCATTTCAATTCATATCCAGGGACAAGTTCCAGACAATTTGCAGACATTGTATCAGGTATAAGTTGCAGGATTTTGAACACTTTCCCCACAATCTTCCCACAATGTTATTAATATTGGTGAGTCAAGCAGTTGCTCATGAAAATTTCCCAGAAAATGTCTCGGACAAATTCAGAGGTTCTTCCGGACAAAATGAACGATTCTACCCACAACTTGTCTGGGACTTGTCCTGAATACGAATTGAGGCAGGCCCTTACCTGAATGACCTCAACTTCTCGACTGGTTCTTCTGAGAACCACACAACTCGCTAAGAAATATATCTCATTCATATGATGTTACTGCAAACCTCCAATTCATTGACCTCATCTTCATTTCGTAATTCTCTCCTTATCAACTAATGATAAAAACACAAAATCATGTTTTTGTGTCTTTGATCTTTGAGATGAGAAGATGGTTCTTGATGAGCAGTGATGTTTCTGAGAATCACAGTGGTTGCCTTTGGTGGTGAACAATGAATTTGTATATATTTAGTGACTAATAGGACAATGAGAACATGGGTTGATTATGTTCATTACATCCAATGAAAGAATAATTTATTAGATGGGGTTGGGGAAAATTTCTCACCAAAACTGAGTTCTGTGATGGAGACGTCGTCCAGGATGAGGCCAAAGTCGTTGGCTCTCTCCGTCAGCTGCCTACGAATCAGCAAACTCACCTACGGACATGCCAAGTGAGAAAACATAAAGAACATCTCATTGGCCTTTTTTTTGGACAAATGGTGGACACAATTAACACCCTCACTATTATGTCTGCTTTTGCTGTGGGGGAGTGTGGCCCAGTGGTCAGGGTTCATGACTCATGATCAGAGGGTCAGGGGTTCGAATCCAGCTGCTGGCTATAGTTGTGTCCTTGGGCAAGCCACTTCACCCCACTTGCCTCTCTCCACCCAGGAGTATAAATGGGTACCGGCATTAGCTGGGGAGTAACCTGCAATGGACTAGCATCCCATCCAGGGGGGATAAAACTATTGTGTCATTTCATGCTACTGAAACCGGAGATAAACACCGGCCTGATGGGCCACATTAGCAGACTTCAACATTTTGTCCGCTTTTTTTGAAAAATTAGAACATTTTTTTCCCCAACGATGGTTGGCTTACCATCGTTGGAAATGGATTTTTTTATAAAAAATTCCACTCTTCTTAAAAATGACAGCGCACCAGGTGCCATGATTTCACAGGATGCTTGAGACTTTTGACCTATAGCGGTAGAATCACGTCAACGCGGCAGAATCGCAGTCAAGTGAGGTATTTCATAATAATAGCTGCATGTGTTTAATGTCGATGGTGTTCCATCTTACCTGCTGTCTCTGAGTAATGAGCTGTGAAGCATTAAACTTTGCTACGACACCCTTCAGAACCTGAAAAAGAAAACGACAGGTCAAAATGTTACTGGTGGCATCAAACATGATCCGCATGGCAATAACCTACATAACCCTTAGCCTTGGTCAATGCTCTCGTCGTTATTCGTCCCGTACGCGGTCAATCGTCGGCATACATATGTATATCCTCATGCGCTATGCACATGCATGTAAAAATACAGCACGAACAGCGACCTCACGCGGCCACTATTTTTATATGCAAATCAGTTGGGGACGATCGAGAGCCTTGGTTCAATCGTCCATGTGAGGTTTTGGGGGTGGTGCTCATTATGTTAATAGCCTTAGCTGACCTTAAATGTCGTTTTCTTATTGGTCGATCGTTGCGTGGAAACTTGCATAGTGAAACGTGGTACCCTACATAATCCATACACGTACACGTTGTGTCTCTGCACACGGCACCAATGCACAAAAACTGTGGTTCCTGTCACGTCCGCAAAAGGCGAATAGCTGCGAATAATTTGATGACGTCCGGATTTACCAAGGTGTGATTGGATACTCCACATATTAGCCCCGCCTACACTTATCTGTATTCGCATACGAGGTCGTGCGCTAGAAATCCAGCGCAAAATAAAGAAAAACATAAGCTTTGGCCGACGATTGAACCAAGGCTCGAGATCGTCCCCAACTGATTTGCATAAAAAAACAGTGGCCGCATGAGGTCGCTGTTCGCGCTGTATTTTTACATGCATGTGCATAGCGCGTGAGGATATATGCCGACGATTGACCGCGTACGGGACGAATAACGACGAGAGCATTGACCAAGGCTACATAACCCTCTGCACTTCACAGCCCTGCAAGTTCTACAAACCCATTAACCCTCCTATGCAAACATGCATTCTGAGCCATGCTGTTACTTGGGTCAAAAGTGGTCAAGTGACCCATTGGTGTGTTAAAAATATACCAGGGGAAGTGGAAGGAAATTTTGACCGTTTGTGACCTTTTAAACAGCAGGGGGCTAATGCAACTAAAATCTCTGGTCAATGTTATGAACCTTTTGTTAAAAAAAAAAAAAGGTGTACACCTTCATTGTTGCATGATTATCATCGGGACGTATGACATCTCTAGTCAATGACCATAACCAGCAGCACTCAAAATAGCTTGACCTTTGACATTACCTCATTGCATATGGACGGCAGGACCCTCTCGTCGTAGTCTGTGCCCAGCTGGCGCAGGATGGTAGGAAGGTTGGCCTCCATGGGTCTGGACAGGACACGCAGACTGATGTTGACCATCTGAAGATCTGCATAAAGTATATCCACAACATAAATATCCACATTTTTAAACACTGTACAACGTAAATTAACATGTACATGTAAGGTTAAGCAATTTATTAAGGGAATAAATGTGTGCTCCGGAGGTTTTTATCACTCTGTTTAAGACCACTTAGAGTCTGGGTGCTGACAATTACTCGAGCCGGAGGTGAGGGTAATTATCAGCACCCAGACTCTAAGTGGTCTTAAACAGAGTGATAAATACCGACGGAGCACATATTTATTCCCATTCATAAATACCTTTTCGGTGAAAAAAAATCATATAATTCGTTCAAAACATCCCGATTTTGTTCAACAAATTCACTTTATGCTTTTTGAAACATCCCTCTTACAAAATAATGGAGTGTTCAGCTGGCGAGTAAGATGTAAACAACCCTTTAATGGAGATTGACGCGCGCGTATCATGTTCTACGCGATGTCGCGCAGAACGCACCTGGCGCGTTGCGTTTTGAATTTAGAACTATAAAAGTCTAACTCCCTGGTAGTGTTGCGCATGCCTACGTGAGGATTGTGAACGTTCAACCAATGAAACGATAAGAGGCACTGGATTTTTAGGAGTCCACATTTTATTGTGACACTGGAAAGTGTTTAAGACCAGCTAGCCATGTCTTTATTATCCGTTTAAGACCGGCCACGTGATGGGCTCTCAACCAATAGGAATGCGTAAACTGTCTTAGGTATTTATGAATCTCGATTCAAACAACCAGTCCATTCCAGTACTGCACAACTAAAGTGGGTCAGAAGATACAACTGGTACCAGTCTCCACTTATACACTTCTTTCTACAGTCACATCCCCAGACTACTGAATGGTCCATTTGGACACTTGCCAGTCTTTATGTGCCTCAACTTAAAATCACTTAGAATCCCTCTCCGCCTGATCGGGCAAATTTAGTAAAACTGGTCCTTGCACAAGATTGTATTGAACTGATTAAGAATATGTTAAAACGATTGTAGAATAAGTTGCAGTGGTAACGTGGACTTCATAGTTTTAGATAAACTTTTAGGTTCCCCAAACTCCCCATTTTCTTGGCTAGAAACTTTCCCCGAGGCACATTCTTCCTAAATATGAATTACGGCAAGTATCTGGTGCCACACACAGAAATAATGAATGGACTCAACTTTCCTCACTTTATAGCTTTCAGGATTAGGACAACAAAAAAAATAAGTCGGTCTCTGGTCAGCGCGCGCGTCGATTTTAATCATGCGCGTCGATCTTTTTTTTCCCCAAAATGTTCCGCGGTAGCTCCAACAGCGCCCTCTATTTCCGCACCTCCTCAATTTTTTTTTACCAAAGAGCACCAAGGAATGGGAAATTGCACCAAGGCAAATGATCGAAAGCACCAAGGCAAATTATGGAGGACACCAATGTACATGACGACACCAAAAAAGCAAAGTAGTACCCACCTTGTCTGTACAATCCAAGCTTGAAGAAGAAAAAAAAAAAAAAAAAAAAAAAAAAAAAAAAGGCGCCCCGTGACCGCGTCAATTCCAGAACTTTGGTCTGACCAGAGACCGAATATTTTTTTTTTTGGCCTTACTTATAATCCTCTGGCCTACCTTTGCTTCCGGTGGGTGAAGAGATCCTTCTTGGCTTGGAGCGGATGTTGTATATGACGGGGTACTGGAACCACGGTATCCTAAAATGCAGTCCCTCAGCATAAATCCCGTCTTGAACGCCCCCGAGACGACTGAAGATTACCGCTCGATGACCACCATCCACTTACATTTATAATAAGAAAGAATTTAAAAATTAAGATTTGAAGGAAAAAAAATGAAGCTAGGGTAAAAGGGGGAGTATTCGACCGGATAAGGGAAACTTGGTCCATTTTATTTTAAAATAAGGTGAAGAAACTCAAACTCCAAATGGATAACATAAGCACTCTTTTATCTTTATTCAGAACTTACCTGGTCAGCGTTGATGGTCACGATGTATGACCTTTGACCTTTTGAACGAGCGGTCACTGTGCAAAAACAAGTCGCGCTTAATCAATGACTGTTTCATGTACTGATATGTGTCCCGTGCCAAAAACCCACACTGTCAGACGGCATGGGGCACATATGACTACATGAAACAGTCGTTGAGTAAGCGCAACTTGTTTTTCTTCAAAAGTGACGTCACACACGCGCGCGATGAATTATGCATCAGTCATGTCAGTGAAATGGACTGTGCAACTCAGCAGACACATTTAATTGTGAGTGGCAAGTTCAGACTATTTTGTTCTTTTTTCAAAATTACCGGTTGTTTGGAACAATTTAAGGGGTCTTATGGAATGTCATTAATGTGTGGATCTGTCCAGGGTTACTGTCTTTCTCATTTGTATTCTTTTTACCATTTTTTGGGGGCCTTTTGTCCTCACGAGGGCATGCACAAAAATGCATACCGTGTACATGTCACCAAAGTACATGTATGCCAAATCGGTGGAGCGTTTGTACGGAGGGTACCGTAGTTCAACGCTCCACTCAGTAGAGCTAGGTACGGGTAGTGATGTCACGTCATGCGCACCGTGCACTACATAAATCAACAACCAACATGACCAATGCTAGCCCCATAAATGTGGCCTATTTACTGGACTACCTCCGTAAACATAGGCCACACATCCACATGTACAAAAACGTGTCGCACTTTGCCAAATTTTGATTTTCGCATTTAGGCTTAGTTTGTAGGTTTGTTTTGCTTTAGAAGCATACTCACCCTCTTTATAGGCTAATCAGAAAGTGCTGCCTTTTTCAGATGTCTATTTTTTGGAAATTTCCAGATTCATTTTTACACATTTGCGTATCAAAATTTCAACATGAAATTTCACAAAAATTAGACATCTGAAAAAGGCAGCACTTTCTGACTAGCCTATAAAGAGGGTGAGTATGCTTCTTAAGCAAAAAAATCCTACAAACTAAGCCTAAATGTGAAAATCAAAATTTGGCAAAGTGCGACACATTTTTGTACATGTGGATGTGTGGCCTTTGTTTACGGAGGTAGTTCAGTAAATAGGCCACATTTATGGGGCTAGACCAATGCCACAATTTGTCGCCAAGACTATCTGCTGCAGAGCTGATGTGGGCCTCCATAGTCTGCCCTAAAAACACATTTTTCCGAAAATGTCTTCACATTTCCTTCCCTTTCTGGATTCGTCTTAGGTGAAATCACAAGGTGAGGTGAACATTGAAGTTTTAACTGGCAGATAGCTGACGTACTAGTATGGTATTCATTCCCAGTTCTCACATGGGGAAAATGTCCACACTGGCTCACCACTTTAACTGCCGCCAAACACATCAATTTTCATCTCACCTTGTGATTTCACCCAAAAGGAATCCAGGAAGCTGTGTAAATGCGAAACAAAATTAGGCAAAATGTGTTTTTAGAGCACATTTTGGATGCACACATCGTGCAAAACTAAGTTGAAGCAGTTGGTCAAAACTGATTGAGTGGCTAAAAGACAGCGGTACGCTATACGCATGACATCGACAACCATGACATCGCATGAGCCAGCCAATGATAGTGCAATACGTCATTATGAACATTTATTTTCTCATGAATATTTAGTTTATTTCAATGGCTATTTCAAATACTTCCAAAGTTTGATTATTGCAACAGCGATCGTGCGCGGCCTAGCGGTTAAGAGTCTCGTGTTTCAAGCAAGAGTCCGAGGTTCGAATCTCGATGAAATAAGTGACTGATTAATAAATAGAAATAAAGGAAACATGGGAAAGGAGAGGGTGAGAGTAGAGGAGGGAAGTGGAGGGAAGTGGAGGGAATAACCATAAAGGTTGCAACTTTTGGCGCTTGAAAAAGGTGGTGATCCAGTATGGAATTTTTTCCCTCACATGAAAGCATATTCTCTGGTGTACAACTACAATAGTACAAGCATGACAAGATAAGCAAAAAAAGATGATTTTTTTTTTCTGTTTCAATTTTCAAAAGTGGTGTCAGGATGCAACATTTTTTCCAAAAAACTTGCTGACCTTTATTGAGATGATATATATGAAGAAAAAAGTCGCTTCAAGTTGCAATATTCTTTTCAGGCAATTTATACGGTTAAAAAGTACACATATAAAATCCTGTCCGAAAACTGGACTGGCATTGAACCCATGCAGACTGCCATGACTGCAGTGCTGTGCCAGTGGTTATGCAAATTTAGCTGATGTAATCCAGCCCTTAACTTACCTGTGTATATGGATTCTTTGACCCCATAAGCAAGCGCCCCAGCCGCCAAAACCAACTTCACACCAGTACCGAGGCCAGCGGGGCCTTTCCCCATCCTCCCCATCATATCTTTCACTTGCTGAGCCATGTTTTTATCGGTCAAATTGGCTTCAGTCCTTCACGTTTTCACTCTTTTCCAATCTACACGCGTGAGACGGTCTGCGTATTTCCCACTTCCACGTGTTGAAAATTGCTTAGTGAGGTAGAGACCTTTTGGGGGAACAGACTAAAACAGTTCGGACATGCGCAATTTGTGAGGTAATTCAACCGTGACGATGAGGGCGCACTGGACGGCAGACGACGCCGAAGTGTCGACCATCGAAGAACAGAGGCACTAGTGCGCCTATCAAAATGTTTCCCACATCCCTCCCCCCCCCCCCTCCGCTGCCCCAGGTCCGATGTCAGGATTTGGTCACGTTTTTCATGCCCCAGGGTGGGGATTTTGGTCACTCATGGCGTACTGCATGGAAAGGCAATCACAAGTGCGCCCCACGTATGTATGTCGCGGCATGGTTGGGGATTGTCACTTAAATTTTGCCCGAGGGCTGGGGATTTTGTCACTTCAAAAGTGACAATCCCCACGTCTTGGGTGGGGCAGCCCGCGGGGAGGGGGGGGGAACAATTGATAGGCGCATAAGGGTTCGCAAACTGTCGCATCGGCAATCAAGGGCGGATCCGGGGGAGGGGGGGGGCCCAACGGGGGCCATGGACCCCCCCCCCCCCAAAAAAAACCACAAAAAACCAGCCAATTTTTTTTAAAGTGACGTCGCAAGAAAGGCAGCCACTGCGTACCGGTAGGCTACACGGGGGCGTGGGGGGGGGACAGCCCCCCCCCATGAAACCTTGTCGCCCCCCCCCAGTCGCCCCCCCCCCCTGAGATTTTGAGTTTCTTAAAAAGTTATCATTGATCTACATGATGGCACCCCCCCCCCCCCCGAAAAATTCCTGGCTACGCCACTGGGCTACACCACCATCTTTTGCTCGTAAATTGGTTAAAGTTGTCAGAAATTGCCTCAGATCGCACCACGTACAGAGCATCTAAATTCCATTTTTATTTCGGGGCCCGAACCCCATGCACTTAATTTTTGGAACCGCATTTTTGGGGGGAATTTCTTTTTCTTTTTTTTTGGTCCCCCATTTTTTTTTTTTGGAACCGCCCTTGTCGCCTAGATAAAACATTGTATAGAAACTACTTGCAAGGAAATTGATTTTGTTTATTTTGTTTATTACTACTTTACCACTCTCACAGTGTTTACATTGTACATTGTTTTATACATACATTCTTGTCTTGAAGTTAATGGAACATCTTAGGTTGGGGTGTGGTAGTTGGGCGTAAAGGGAACACTTGGGATTTTCTCTCGGGGGGGGGGGGTTAAAAGGGAGTGTTTCATAAGTCCTTGGACTTCTTACAACTTCCTCATAGATTCTCTGCTTTTCATTTATCTTTGTTACTTATCTTTGTCATTTACTTTTATGTTTTGTTTATCTATTAAGTTACGTACTTTATATGTTTTCATTATGAAGTTATGAAATAAAACTAGATTGATTGATGTGAGTTGATTGATACTGACACAACTAAATATTTAATACAGCAAGTTTTCACTCAAGTTTAATCTGCAAAATTGCCACTACATCTGTAATTAAAAATATACATTATATAAATTATGGTATTACGAAGAAAATAAAATTAAATGTCGAGTGTGTAAATGTACGAAGAGGAATAATTTGAAAGCCACTAAAAATAAAAATGGACTTTGGACGGACGGAAAATGAATTATCGTTTTCCCCACTTGTGGATTTATTTTAATAAAACCAACAAATTGGAAATATCATGATTCCCTTTCTAATCCTCTATTTATTTATTAAATTTCGTTGCCCGGGGCCTGCCCAAACGTTTAACTAGTTTACATTGGGACCCGGCCCTGCATGCAGTAGAAATTATAAAGTTAAGCAAAGTAAAATTTACGAGAAAAAAATGTACATAGGAATCATTTGAATACTACCTAATACAAACTTATACAAACACTTATACAAACACAAGTGCTATACGAATATTTACACAATATAAAGTTCACTTTAAACATTTTAGTAAAAGGCACTGATTTGCTGATTACGAGATGGGCGAAAACCCCGCGAAAACCCTTTTGGGGAAAAAAACACGGGGAAATTCCCGATCCGGCTCCAAATTTCCATGGCAACCAAGTTTATAACTTCGTAGATTAGCGCATTTTTTAACTAGTGTGTTAGTGGCAGAAATATCACTGGCTAATGGCTTTACGGCAGGAAATCCATGATTCTTAGTTGGTCATGTAAATTATTCCATACAAATTTCTCCACACAGCGAAGCTTATGGCCGCTAGCACTCCTTTTAATAGACTATTACCATGTTGCGGCCATCTTGATTTTTCCCATTCAAATCAACGCAACGAAAGCGAGGCTGGAAGGAAAATTAGTCTGGTTCCTAGATATTGGCACAAAACATTATCTTTTTAGTACTGTTATTGGATACAGGGAAAAAGACTAAAATGGTAGCAGCATGTTAAAGGTCTATTGGGCGAAAGAGGCTTCCAATGCCATGTTACTTGATTGTCTTGTTTCACGAATTTAACAGATTCGTCGTGCACAAAGGAGTCATTTTGTTCAGACTTTTGAAAACAAGAATAGCCTTTTTTAGACTTAAGAACATTGAAACCAGTTTAGCTTAGCAAACATATCCGCTAGTGAGGGAGGTATACATTTAAGGAAACTCTGTAAGGCTATTTTCAGAGATTTTGTTGAGAATATTGTCGTGGGATATGTACCTCCCTCCCCCACTTTAAAAAGTTGTGGGACTAATTGCCCTCCCCCCCCCCCCCATGCCCACCGATTGAAGCCCATGACTTAAACTAATTGAGTTAAGAAGTTGACATGTTCAGCAGTTTTACATGATCGACACAATCAAATGCTTTACCGAGATCTATAAGCACACATTTAAACTTCTCCATGACCCATGGCCTAAAACACTTGTTTGTTAAATCGTGCTTTCGGTTGAGTGAAATGGTCTAAATCCTACTTGGGAGCGATGGATCAGAAGGAAACTATATAATAAGCATTGTAAAACTTATAGTGGAGTGGTGAAAGACTGTACTCCGTGTGTATATTGTCACCATTTCTCCTGCTTACTCAAAGCCAGATGAATCTGCAAAGATAAAAAAAAAACCAATCCAATTATTTTTTTACAGTCGGAGCACAAACCAACTATTGGAATGATGTGTGTAGAGTAGATATGTCATTAAAAAAAATGGATGTGCCACTGCCCGCAGACGAAGACAAAAATTGAAAAAGAAAACAAAATACATCTGAATCTTTTTTTTTTTTAATTACCTCAAGAATTGGTGAAGACTTGGCTCTGCAAGCAGGTCATCAGTCCTTCCGTCGGTCTTCCTCCCTGCTTCCGGTTCCTTGGGATTCGGAACGTCCAGAATGACAACTCATCCTGTAGCTAGACCCTCATCTCTGCCAAAAGATTGGAAGGAACACATGTAAGAAAATGTGTGTGGGATATGCAGCTGTTGCTCTTTTTTTTGGGGGGGGGGGAGATTTGTGAAAGTGTTGAGGATGGTTCTTTTTATTTTCTTGAAAATTAATTGAAAAAGAAAAATACGATCTGAATCTCTTTTTTAAATTACCTCAAGAATTGGTAAAGACTTGCCCAGCAAGCAGGTCTTCAGTCCTTCCGTCGGTCCTCCTCCCTGCTTCCGGCTCCTTGGGATTCGAAACCGATTGTAACTTGGTCCAGAATGACTTCTTATCTTGTAGACCTTCATCTCTGCAAGAAGATTAGAAGGAACACATGTAAGAAAATGTGTGTGGGATATGCAGCTGTTGCTCTTTTTTTGGGGGGGGGGGATTTGTGAAAGTGGTGAGGATTGTTCTTTTTAAAACAATTTAATTTAATTTTCTTGAAAATTTATTGAAAAAGAAAAAATACGATCTGAATCTCTTTTTCTAAATTACCTCAAGAAATGGTGAAGACTTGCCCAGCAAGCAGGTCATCAGTCCTTCCGTCGGTCCTCCTCCCTGCTTCCGGCTCCTCGAGATTCGGAATCGAGTGTAACTTCGTCCAGAATGACAACTCATCTTGTAGACCTTCATTTCTGCAAGAAGATTAGAAGGAGCACATGTAAGAATATGTGTATGGGGTATAATGTGCCTGTTGCTCCTTTTTTGGATTTGTGAGTGTTGAGTGATTATTCCTTTTTAAAACAATTTAAATTAATTTTCTTGAAAATTAATTGAAAAAGAAAAAATACGATCTGAATCTCTTTTTCTAACTTTACCTCAAGAAATGGTGAAGACTTGCCCAGCAAGCAGGTCATCAGTCCTTCCGTCGGTCCTCCTCCCTGCTTCCGGTTCCTTGAGATTCGGAATCGATTGTAACTTCGTCCAGAGTAATTACATCTCATCTTGTAGACCATCATCTCTCTGCCAGAAGATTAGAAGGAACACATGAATGTGTAAGGAAATGTGTTCAGGATAATAATTGCGCACATTGCTCTTCTTCTATATTTGTTGATTTGTGAAAGTGCTTTAAGTGATTAATCTTTTATAAGTAATTTTAAAAAAAAATGGGGGGGGCCCGAGGGAAATATTCTTCTTCTTTTTTGCTATTAGGTTTCAGTAATCGTGGACACAACAAGGAGAACCACTTTAAGACAGCCTGTGACATATTCGAAAGGAAAGTATATCATTAATATTCTTACCCAAGGAAGCAAGAATGGAATGCTCAGCAAGCAGGGCCGTCAGTCATCTGTTGGTCCTCCTCCCTGCTTCCGTTTCCTCCGCATCTGACAAGAACACTTGGGCTTGCACGAACTCACAATCTATCTGCAAGTGGCTGAAAAGAAACTTACGAAAAGAAAACAACAAGTCTACCTAGCGCAGCTAGGTTAAGTCAGTATGAGCAATACAGTGATTTCTTGGTCAAATAAGTGACTGTTATTACGGTGAAACGAGGGAAAATGGTCCTTACCTGACCACTATAAAAGATAGAACCATAGAAAATGGGAAACTTTGTTTAGGCCTTCACTATACCTAGATTGCTAGGCCTAACTCGGTAATGTCCCATTTAGTGGCCCTTACCCGACCACTGTAATGGGTACAACCATGGAAAAAGGTAAACCAAGTTTAGGTCTACCCTACCTAGATTACTAGACCTAACTGGCTGCGCAGCCTCATACATACAGACAGTGAAGGTAATGCAATTAGTGGCCCTTACCTGACCACAGTAATACCATAATGGGTACAACCAGAGAGAAAGACGAAAACTTAGTTGAGGACTATTCCAAATAGATAACTTGGCCAAATTGGCTCGAAATCTCTAACAAAGATAGTGAAGCTTAATACAAGTTTGCCCGAAAGCAACGCGAACCTGCTCAAAGGGAAACAATACGATGCCGACCTGCGCTGATCGGACTTACCGGACTTGAAAAGTTACTGTCGATCAAAACCTCCACTGGTTTTGTGGGTCTTTAAAAAAAAAATCAACGAATCGGTTTTTTTTTTTTTTTTTTAACTCTGTACGGATTCAGACGACGTCACTTCACAAAGTGATTATGGGGTGTGTCCGACGTTTAAGGTGTCATCACCTGATAGCAACATTGTCACCATGGCCCTATTACCGATCTTTGCGGATCGGACTTATCATAGAAAAACAAATCACAAACAATAATCTACGTCGATAGCACATATTTCGACTAGGATCCGAGCCTGGTCTTGTGGGTCTTAAAAAAATTGAATCAATTTTGTTTTACTCTGTATACTCAGACGACATTACTACACAAAGTGATTATTGGGTGTATCCGACGTTACAGGTGTCATCACCTGATTACATAGCAATGTTGTCACCATGGCCCTATTACCGATCTTTGCGGATCGGACTTATTATAGAAGAACAAATCAAGAACATTAATAATCTATGTCAATAGCACATATTTTGACAAGGATCCGAGACTATTTCATGTCGCGAAATAATTGTGGATAAACCGTTACTGCGATTACATGTTTTACGACTCTTACATGTTTCCAGTAATTTGTAATAATTATCGACAAACACGGGCCCTTTAAATATAGCATTTTCTTATACAATAAATCGATGTTTTAAGAGGGATGGGCGTGGCGTAGCAGTTGAAGAAATTGCTGCTATATACACATTCAAATAAGGTGCATTTGTAAACATGTCCCCGGTATTTCATTCAGTGAATCCTACAAATACAGGTGAGGGATACACAGAGTTTACGAGGAAACGTAGATCCATCATTTTAGCTTTTTTAAGCTTCAAAGTATAGCTTTGGAAAATTAACACATTTAATACTCTTGAGTATTTTACACAATGATACTCAAGGCGGGATGAAGGGACAAGTATTTTTCAAGAAAAATACACGTCCGGCAATTGGAAACAATTTCTACAAAACGGAGGAAAATAAGATCCGTAGGCCTATACATGACATGGCCCTACAAAAAATACGTAATATATTTGAAATATGAAAGGTTTTGTAACACATGGCCCTAGAACATTCTTTTTTTTTCAAATGAGTATATGTAGAACGACAAGAAAACGCTTAGACACCATTAACATTTTGAAGTTTGATTTGTACACATGGCCCTAAATATGTAACACATTGTCACAAACAAAAAAAGCACAACAAGTGTCAACTTAGTCAACAACCATCAAGCAGAAGGTATTGTACATTTTCAGGGTTCCTTATGGGGTATAGAACAATAGACCAATAGGAAGTCTTTAGAAATCAATCTATCCCATAACTTGGGAAACACTATGGTTTTGAGATTTCAATAGGAACAAAGGAAAACAAAAGCAGGGAAACAAAGGTCTTCCCCATAATATTATTATGTGTGAGGCTGTATAAGTGCGTGGGCAAGATTAAACACAAATTCAAGTGCGGATTTTGCAATTTGTATTGATAACCAATACGCAAAAACGGCGAAATAAGATTACTATTACACGTGGCCCCATATCCACAATTCCTTAAAAATAGCTGGTGGTGGCATAGCAGTTTAAGTGCTCGTTCTCCTTGTACATTTTTGTACCCAACTCCAACTTGTACTCGTGTAACTTTATTCGCATTCGAGCTCAAACACGAACTTTGTTCGCATTCGAACTCAAACACGAACACGATCGTATTTCGTACCAACACGAATCGTAATCGTAAACCTTCTTTCGTACTCCAATCCAAACCCGACTCGCGTACTTTTGTTCGAACTCGAGATCAAACACGAACTTTGTTTGCACTGGGACTCAAACACGAACTCGAACCCATGAAAATTTGTTCGCACTCGTACTGAACCCCGAACACGAACTCGTGTATTCGTCTGACCTTTTTTTTTTTTACTTGTATAAGATCTGTACATCACATGGCCCTACACAAATCTTACATAATAAATTTGAAATGATTTCAAAGACAAAGAAGTTTGTTAACATGGCCCTAGAATCCTGAAACATATAATCAGTCGGCAGAAATTTCTACAAAACGGCGATGAAAAGTTTTGTAAACACATGGCCCTAGAAAATTTGTTTCACAATGAGTACCAATGTAAAGAACTACAATAGATACGACTGAAATTTCAAAGTTTGATTTGTACACATGGCCCTAAATTATATAACACATTGTCACAAACGGAAAATCGCAACAAGTGTCAAAAAGTCAATAACAGTATAGATGGCATTGTACATTTTTAGGGTTCCTTATGGGGTAGGTAACACAGTAGGACAATAGGAAGTCTTTAGAAATTAATCTATACCCCATAATTAGGAAAACACTATAATGGAGTTTGCAGTTCCAATAGCAGTTTAAGTGCTCGTTCTCCGTGTACATAGTTTTGTACTCAAACTCCAACTTGAACTCGTGTAACTTAAGTCGCACTTGAGCTCAAACACGAACTTTGTTCGCATTCGAACTCGAGCACGAACTTGATCGTAGTTCTTACTTCGTATTCGACCTCCAAGACGACTTCAAAATCGTAAACTTTTTTCATATTCGAATCCGAACTCTAACGTCCGTATTTTTTTCGCATTCGAGCTCAAACACGAACTTGGTTCGCATTCGAACTCGAGCACGAACTCGATCGTAGTTCTTACTTCGTATTCGACCTCCAAGACGACTTCAAAATCGTAAATTTTTTTCGTATTCGAATCCGAACTCTAACGTCCGTATTTTTTTCGCATTCGAGCTCAAACACGAACTTGGTTCGCATTCGAACTCGAGCACGAACTCGATCGTAGTTCTTACTTCGTATTCGACCTCCAAGACGACTTCAAAATCGTAAACTTTTTTCGTATTCGAATCCGAACTCTAACGTCCGTATTTTTTTCGCATTCGAGCTCAAACACGAACTTGGTTCGCATTCGAACTCGAGCACGAACTCGATCGTAGTTCTTACTTGGTATTCGACCTCCAAGACGACTTCAAAACCGTAAACTTTTTTCGTATTCGAATCCGAACTCTAACGTCCGTATTTTTTACGCATTCGAGCTCAAACACGAACTTGGTTCGCATTCGAACTCCAACAAGAACTCGATCTTAGTTCGTTCTCGACCTCCAAGACGACTTCAAAATCGTAAAAAACTTTCGTACTAGAGTCTAACTCTAACGTTCGTATTTTTGTTCGCATTCGAGCTCAAACACGAACTTGGTTCGCACTCGCACTCGAACACGAACGTGATCATATGTAGTACATACTCGACCTCAAACTCTTCTCAAAATCGTAAACTTTTTCCGCACTCGAATCCAAACTCAAACTTGCGTAGTTTTGTTCGCACTCGAGCTCAAACACGAACTTGGTTCGCACTCGAACTCAAACACGAACTCGTCCGTATTTTTTCGTATTCGTCCATATTTTTTTCGTACTCGTACTGGGGGGAAGAGGGGTATTAAAGAAGCAATTACCACACAATAATGGGTTCCCGAACAATCATTTTGTTTTTTCAACTCTGATTTTGATTCCGTTCCCACCTAATGCTGGGTAAAATCGTGTCTTAAGAATCGTGCGGAAAGGTTCCTTGGAAATGCTGTAATTATTATCTCTAATCCTCATTGTCTTCTTTATATACAAAGCACAATCTCTTACTGGGTTTTACAACTTTATACATTAATAATTCTGTTGAATAAATTTTGTTGGCAATGTAGCACCCATCAAGGGTGTCGTGTTTCTCAATTGTAGCATTCATCAAGAGTGGCGTCTTACTGGCATAGCACCCATCAAGGGTGTCGTCTTTCTCAAAGGTAGCACCTATCAGGGTTGTCAAAAATATCTAGCTGGTTTTACAACTTTATAGTTATACATTAATAATTCTGTTGGCGAAGTAGCACCCATCAAGGGTGGCGTCTTTCTCAATAGTATAGCACCCATCAAGGGCGTCGTGCTTCTAGATAGTAGCACCCATCAAGGGTGTCATGTT